CCTTCCTGACACCTTACACTAAAATTAACTCCAGATGGATTAAAGACTTAAACATAAGACCTGGCACAATAAAAACCCTAGAAGGAAATCTAGGCAAAACTATCCAGGACATAGGAGTAGGCAAGGACTTTATGAACAAAACACCAAAAGCATTGGCAACAAAAGCCAAAATAGACAAATGGGACCTAATCAAACTCCACAGCTTCTGCACGGCAAAAGAAACAGTCACTAGAGTGGATCGGCAACCAACAGAATGGGAAAAAATTTTTGCAGTTTACCCATCTGACAAAGGGCTGATATCCAGAATTTACAAAGAACTCAAACGGATTTACAGGAAATAAACAAACAAGCCCATTCAAAAGTGGGCAAAGGATATGAACAGACACTTTACGAAAGAAGACATATATGAGGCCAACAATCATATGAAAAAATGCTCATCGTCACTGGTCATCAGAGAGATGCAAATCAAAACCACATTGAGATACCATCTCACGCCAGTTAGAATGGCGATCAACAGATCTGGAGACAACAGATGCTGGAGAGGATGTGGAGAAAAAGGAACACTTTTACACTGTTGGTGGGAGTGTAAATTAGTTCAACCATTGTGGAAGACAGTGTGGCGATTCCTCAAGGCCTTAGAAATAGAAATTCCATTTGACCCAGCAATCCCATTACTGGGTATATATCCAAAAGACTATAAATCGTTCTACTATAAGGACACATGTACACGAATGTTCATTGCAGCACTGTTTACAATAGCAAAGACCTGGAATCAACCCAAATGCCCATTGATAATAGACTGGATTGGAAAAATGTGGCACATATACACCATGGAATATTATGCAGCAACCAGAAATGATGAGTTTGTGTCGTTTGTAGGGACACGGATGAATCTGGAGAACGTCATCCTCAGCAAACTGACACAAGAACAGAAAATGAAACACCGCATATTCTCACTCATAGGTGGGTGATGAAAAATGAGAACACATGGACACAGAAAGGGGAGTACTAAACACTGGGGTCTATTGGGGGGAAAAGGGGAGGGCCAGTGGGAGGGGGAGGTGGGGAGGGATAGCCTGGGGAGAAATGCCAAATGTGGGTGAAGGGGAGAAGGAAAGAAAAGCACACTGCCATGTGTGTTCCTACGCAACTGTCTTACATGCTCTGCTCATGTACCCCAAAACCTAAAATCCAATAAAAAATAAAAATAAATAAAAAAAAATTAAAAAAAGACATTATTCAAATCGATGAATGAGGAAAGGGACTTTGACTCCACTGAATTCGTATCAAAAAACATTTTCTATCTTTTGCAAACTTAAGATAGCAAGCAGAGGAAATAAAGATGTTCTAGAGAAAGCTATCTTTTACCATGAGGCATTCCCAATTTGGAAATTTCATTACATGGTGAAAACATTAACTAATAAGCAAACCAAAAGAATCAATAGGTGGGAATAAAGCTTTCACCAACCTCCAGAAACCTGGAAATATGAGGCAACAGAACCAAGAGCTCAAATTCTTACGTAAGTGCCCTCTGCTGACCCTGTGTGTAGAAGGAGGGCTCACCTTGAAGCTGGACTAGTGTAGCCCCATGCTTATGTCCAAGATACTCAAAGTCTGATACTGATCCTTGACCAAGATAAGGATGAAATAAGTGATCGCTGGGCGTGGTGGCTCATACCTGTAATCCCAGCACTTTGGGAGGCTGAGGTGGGTGAATCACTTGAAGTCAACAGTTCAAGACCAGCCTGGCGAATATGGTGAAACCCCATCTCTACTAAATATACAAAAAATAACCAGGTATGGTGGAGCACACCTGTAATCCCAGCTACTTAGGAGGCTGAGGCACAATAATCACCTGAACCCAGGAGGAGGAGTTTGCAGTGAGCTGAGATCATGCCACTGTACTCCAGCCTGGGTTACAGAGGGAGACTGCATCTCAGAAAAAGAAAAGAAAGAAAGAAAGAAAAAAGAAATAAGCTGGTGATAGTCCAAAACTCCCCCGGACTACCTTGTGTAATTTGGTTAGGAATGTGTAGATTGATGGCATGCACTCGTTTAACTTTTTTTTTTTCCTTTGAAACAGGGTCTCACTCTGTTGCCCAGGCTGGAGCACAGTGGTGCAATCATAGCTTCCTAGGACCTCAAATTCCTGGGCTCAAGGGGTCCTCCCACTGGGACTGCAGGCAAGCATCACCATGCCTAGCTATTTTTTTTTTTTTAATTTTAATTTTTTTTTTGTAGAGATGAGGGCTCTCTATGTTGCACAGGCTGGTCTCAAATTCCTGGCCTCAAGCAATCCTTCCTTCTCAGCCTCCCAAAGCACTGGGATAGGTGTGAGCCACTGCACCCAGCCCAATTTAACAATTTTTGTAGCGTTGTTTTAGTCGTGTGACTAGCAGGGTAAGCTAGTCGTGTGACTAGCAGGGTGACTGCTTGGTAAGCTTGTGCACTGGTTCTCCTGAAACCAATATACCTCACATGTGTTTTGGTGATTCCTGTTCTGCAGAAGTACATCTTGTGTGACTAAGGCCCCTGAAGCAGGGCTGTGCCTGGAGGCCTCGACCCTCTCTGAGGCTGGCCTGTGCTTGCTTTCTCCCGCTGCACCATCCGCTTTAGCTTAGTAAGGCCTTGCATAACTGTACCCTGTGGAGTCTTGCAAGTCCTTTCAACAATCTGGCCTGTGCAATTGTTGAACTAAGTCTGGTTAATCATTGCCAATTTCTTTTTGGTTTTTAATCAGCCTACATTATGCTTTGAACCAATTTCATCCTGGAATAAACTCACTTTGAACGGAGATTCAAGTAGTACTATGGGTTCAAACCAAACCACTAATTTTTCAGTGGGTCTCTTTGTGATGAGCACTAAACCAGCACACTAGCAACTGGGGAATAAGTTAGTCTGTAAAGACGCTTTAATTAAGGTTATCTGAACCAACCAATTATGCTAGCACCATAACGGATCTGACTTTCCACTTTCAGAAACCAGTTCTTCAGTCTCAAGAGAGATTGGACTGAAGTGTGACTATTATATTCTTATTTTTTTTTGAGGCAGAGTTTTGTACTTGTTGCTCAGGCTGGAGTGCAATGGTGCGATCTGGGCTCACCGTAACTTCTGCCTCCTGGGTTCAAGCAGTTCTCCTGCCTCAGCGTCCTAAGCAGCTGGGATTACAGGCATGCACCACCACACCTGGCTAATTTTTGTATTTTTAGTAGAGACAGGGTTTCTCAATGTTGGTCAGGCTGGTCTCGAACTCTCGACCTCAGGTGATCTGCCCTTCTCGGCCTCCCAAAGTGCTGGGATTACAGGTGTGAGCCACCACGCCCGGCAGACTCTTATTGTATGTATCTGTGAAGTTAGAGTGAGAAGTCTGAGGCTAGAGGGGGAAAATGAGAGCCCTCCTCTGCTGCCCCATGTGAAGAAATGGGATGGCAAGGTGCATTCCTTTGTTATTTGCTTTCGGATATGGGCACCTGCACCCATTCCATATTCTCTCATTTCCAAGAGTCTGTAGATTTGTGGAGATGCCAGGAAAAACAGAATGGTTGGGAAGACTACCTCAGTGTTTCAGATTTTAGTGGACACAGGCTTTGTGGGATGCTTGGGGAAGTATACAGACTCCAAGATTCCACACTAGTGATTCTAATTTAGTAGGTCCAAGACATGGCCCAGAAAACTGCATTTTTAATAACAGAATTAGCTGATATGAACTTCCATTTGAAAAACAACACCCTTGGGCAATATGAATTTGCCTTACAATGTGTTTAATATTAGACTGAGAGTGGAGGCCGGGTGTGGTGGCTCGTGCCTGTACTCTCGACATTTTGGGAGGCCAAGATGGGCAGATCACTTGTAGTCAGGAGTTTGAGACCAGTCTAACCAACATAGCGAAACCCCGTCTCTACTAAAAACACTAAAAAAAAAATGTAGCCTGGTGTGGTGGGAGTCTGTAATCCCAGCTAGTTGGGAGCTGAGGCAGGAGACTCACTTGAACCTAGGAGGCAGAGGTTGCAGTGAGCTGAGATCACACCACTGCACTCCAGCTTGGATGACAGAGCGAGACTCCGATTAAGATGGTCCAACTCAGCCCTAGCCCATCTCTATGCCTCCTGGCTCAGGTGAGGAGGAGAAGCTGGTGAGTGCGGTTCTGTTGCCACCTCTCCTGGGTACAGTGGAAACATTGCTTTGCCTGCTTTAAAGTGGGAGCAGTGTGAAAAAGGCTTCCGACGGAGTGACAGAGAAGTACTTCTTGCTACAGAGTGGAGCTAGGAGAAGCCACTGTGTCTCTGGGATGATTGTTGGAGTGGAAGACTCAAATTCCAGATTGAATTATCACAGTGTTTAGACTACATGGGGACCCTCCTCAAGGTACCCAGACACTGAAAAAAAATGCCAAGAAATTATAAGGAGCAAATTCCCAGCAGTGGCCTGGGGCAAGGGTGGGGCAGGGCGGGCAGTCAGGCTAAGCACGCTCAACAGGCCAAAGCATTGCTTGGGAAGGTGTTTTCACCGTAGATGCCGAAAAGCTTATTTTTAAACTTCAGTTACTCAGCAATATTGACAATTTTCCTTCAGATATTAAACAATGATTAACATTAATCCATAACCCGCAACTGCTTGCTAAATTGCTGTTGCTTTTTTTAAAGAAGATTTTAACTCAGTTTTGAGTTGTATGACCACAAATGCAAAGCACTAGATCAGTAGGTAGTATTTTAAAGAAACTAGTATGACCTTCAGATCATTTAAAACAACATGGATTTTTTTTTGTATTTCACAAACTGTCTATATTGTCTTTTCTCTAAGGTACTTTTCTCTAAAGCCCCTATTCCTCTGATGTTACCAAAGAACGAGAACTTTTACAATAAATATTGGTGAATAACAAATCTTGGGAAAGTATATCTGATGGTAAGAAGAAATGTAATTTTTTTCTATAATAATTCAGATGTAATTGTTACTATGTCCCTGAATTACATGCTAGATACATCTTTGCCTAGAAAATTTACCTTTTCTTTTCCAACTGCTTTGGCTACAAATGTTGAGAAAGCCACACTAACAAGCTTCTCAATGCCAGTGAGCACGTCCTGTACCATGACCTTGATACCGATCTAAAATGAAAAAAAAGGTAAACAAATACAGTCTTGGTCATCCAGAAACAGTTCAGATTTCAGCATTCAAACTTTAATCACATATATGTACCATTATTTTCTTTCTTTTTAAAAATGAAACCAGAATTTTAACTTATTTCTAAGCAATAGAATTATTTTAATAATGTTATGTAACATTGGACTAATAACTTTTTTCTGATTATAAAAATTATCTATTCACCATGTAAAATTTAGGAACTCTGACTATCCAGAGTATATATTATCAGTAATCCCATCACCCGGAGATAATAATTATAAATTTTAGGTAAATTTTTTTCTAGCTTTTCATTTTATATATCATATGTGATATGTATAATATATACACATACATAATATATACACATAATTATATCATATCACATAATATATACATATTTTATAACATATTCCATACATATGACATGAAATATATGTGTGTATATATGCATGTGTATATAAAATTATAATGTATTTACAGTTTTATGTTCTAATTTTTAAAAATTTGGCATTATATGACAAGCCCTTTTAAATTTCATAATTAGTAAATATGTTTTTGAAAACAAGATCTTAGTGACTGCCTTATAAACCTATCAGAGAGATGTACTGTCACTTTTTTTAGGCTTTACTCTCAGAGGTTTTTTTTGTTTTTTTTTTTCAATCTCTCTAGGCAGCATAGTCTCAGAGTTTCATAACCAAGATAACAGGGATAGAAGAACATCATGTATTTACAGCTTGGTTTCTGTGATTAATTTTTCAGGAGTAATAAGAAGGTAGCTGAGACACTTTATGTTGTTACTAAAATGGGCTAAAATGTCCCCCTGCATAAAGAGCTCTGAAGCTTGGTCCTCAAGTTTGCACTTTGCAGAAGTGTCGGTAAACTCAAGGACTTGTCTGTGGATTCTCGCTAATAAACCTTTTCCCTACATATCTCAGATGAGTAACATTATCTTCTGGAAACAATGAGCTATCTCAGGCACAGCTCAGCACTGTGTTATCAACAATAAAGAATATCCCTACCCATATCTTTACCATGTACACCATGTAAAAAGTAGAATAATAATCTATGACTCATTTTAAGTCACTCAACTCATAAATGCAAATTAGTATTTACATGGCAAATCCTAAATTAACTAGATGGTGATTAGCCAAAATTAAAGTATTCCCAACTCTCAACCCTCAATCAGCTTTCTACTTTTAGAGAAATGGGCAAATGAAAATTAAAATATAAAAATCTAACAGTAAAAACAAAGCAACAATTCTGGAGTGTTAAAATAAGTTCTAAACACTATCTTCTACTAGAACAGTTACCTTAGTTATATGTGATAACCAAATGTTTCAAAAACATATGACAAAAAAAATTTCACTGTGGTATAAGAGATTAGGTAAGATTGGAATTACATCCTGTGAAAACAACTAGAAAACTGGACAAAATAAGCATCTCTTTCACACCTATAAAAATAGGCAGCATAGGACTGTGATCCCCAAATAGGGAAAAACAATGAGAGGAGCACTGTGTTCCCAGGTTCTCAGGCTAAAGGGAATTTATAGTTAGGGTTAGGGAAGGAAAACCTAACTCTGCTAAACTGAACAGAGCTAAAATTTGTGAGGTAGAGAACCAGAGAAGGAAGCTAAAAAAAAGAAAGAATTCCAGAAATATGCATGTGAATCTTTGGGTTGATACTAACTGGAGCATATACAGGGTGAAACCTCACAAGGCCAGACAAGAACAGCTTCTGAGAAACAAACAATTCCTGGGAAAGTGTAACATGAACAATTCCAAGAACTCACACACAGCTGGGAATCTTTTGAGTTCTCTCCAGCCAGATTTCACAACATCTTCATATGCATGTGCAGTACATAGACATATACAATATACAACACCTTCACAGAGATAACAGAAGATCCCAACTTCAAGGACGGGCTAAAGTAACCCTAGAGTAGAGTATTGTAGATCTTCCATAGACGAGCTTAAAATAGATCTTCAAAGGCTCAAACCACTCTGCAAGTAACAACATCTTCCTGCCAGGAAAAGTTTGACACTCTTTTTAAAGAAAGGTAACAAAAGCCAGCATTAAACAATGTAAAATTCACAATGTTCAGCATCCAGTAGAAACTGCTAGATGCAAGAAAATTATTAGATGAAAGGTAATGTAAATAAAACAACAGATAACAGAAATGATGGAATCAACAACAAAGAATATTAAAACAGCAATTAAATATAGGCACCGTGAACTCAGAGAGGTGGAACAGGAGTCAGCAACATCTTCTTAATGGATAAGGCCAGAGAGTAAATATTTTAAGTATTATGGCCACATGGACTCTATCGCAACTACTCAACTCTGTCAATGTACTGTGATAGCAACATGGACAAAACATAAATGAACGAATGTAGCTGTGCTCCAAAAAAATTTTGTTTAGCCAGGCACAGTGGCACACACCTATAATCCCAGGACTTTGGGAGGCCAAGATGGGTGGATCTGGTCAGGAGTTTGAGACCAGCCTGGCCAACAATGGTGAAACCCTGTTGCTACCAAAAATACCAAAATTAGTCAGGTGTGTTGGCATGTGCCTGTAATCCTAGCTACTCAGGAAACCAAGGCAGGAGAACTGCTTGAACCTGGGAGGCAGAGGTTTCAGTGAGCTGAGATTGTGCCATTGCACTCCAGCTTGGGCAACAAGAGTGAAACTCCATCTCAAAAAAAAAAAATTCATAAAAACAGGTCCATAGGCCATAGTTTGCTGACTCCTAGTATAAAGAAAAATATGAAAATAATGAGGAAAGAATGGAAAATATAAAAAATACTAAAGTGGGACTTTCTAAGTTAAAAAATATATAAATCTGAAATAAAAAACAAACCAGGTAAGATTAACAGCAGTTTAGACAATGCAGGGGAAAAAGTCAGTGAAGCTGAAGATGACAAAAGAAGCTACACAGAATGTAGCATGGAGAGAAAGGAAGACTGAGAGAGAAAAGGAACAGTATCAGTGAGCTGTGGAACACTAATGACAAGTCTAAAATTCTAAAGTCCAAAAGGAGGGACAGGACAAAAGACAGGAAAGAAAAAAAGAAGATGTAACAGCTGAAAAAAAATCCACATTTCTTAGAAATGATAAATCCATAGATCCAGTAGCTCAAACAAAACCCAGCAGAATAAATGTGAAAAAAAACCAAGGTATATAATAATTTACTTGCTGAAAACCAGTGACAAGAAAATATTCAAAACAGTCAAAGAAAAAGAAAACATACCATGTAAGAAGAGCAAAGATAAGGGTAACAGCAGACTTCTCAGAGAACCATACATGCCAAAAGACAATGGAGAGACCCCCATAGAGTGCTGCGAGGTGGGAAATGCAGCCAGGCTAGAATTCTCTATCTGCTGAATATGAATATCTTTGAAATATGAAGATCAAACAAAGCTGAAAAAAGAAGTGCGAAAAGAGTATCTTCAGACAGAGGGGAAATGACACTGGGGAGAAATCTGGAGTTATACAATACACAAAAGATAAAGAACATCCGAAATGGCAACTATGTGGGTATATATATAAAATATATTCTTTCCATTTTTATTCTCTTTAAAAGATGACTGACTGTCTAAAACATAGGTAATAACGATGTAGTTTAGGGTTTACCTCCTACATACGTGCATGTAGAAGATATGACAATAACAGCACAAAGGCTGGGACATGGGAAGGGAAGTGTGTACTGTTATAAGGTTATTACACTATACTCAAAGGGATGTTGTATAATTTGAAGGTAGCCTCAGATAAGTTGTCATATTGTAAACCTGAGGAAAAAAACACTAAAACCAAAACAAATACGTATGATTAAAACATCAATAGTGGAGATAAAATGGATTACTAAGCATTACTCTAAAAAATGCAGGAAAAGATGGGGACAGGAAGAAACAAAGAACAGATGGAAGAGATAGAAGACAAACAGCCAGATGATAGATTTCAACTCTATCATATAGATAATCAAATGTAAATAGTTTAAACACTTTAGGTAGAAGGCAGAGATTGTTAGACTAACTTAAAAAATAGCATCTAAATATATTCTGTTGATAAGAAACCCACTTACATATACAAATAAAAGACAGATTAAAAGAAAAATAATAGGAAAAAAACCCCTGCTATTCCAAAGAAAGCTTGTCTGGCTAAATTAATATTGAACAAAGTAGATTTCAAAACAAAAACCAGAGATAAAAAGGTAAACTTCATAACGATAAAAGGCTCACAACATCAGGAAGAGTTAAGAATGCTGGCGGGGTGCAATGGCTCATGCCTGTAATCTCGGTGCTTTGGGAGGCCAATGTGGTGGATCACCTGAGGTCAGGAGTTCAAGACCAGCCTGGCCAACATGGTGAAACCCCGTCTTTATTAAAAATACAAAAATTAGCAGGTGTTCTAAAACAAATAGAAAGAGAATAATGTAATAACAAATAGTAGAAATCAAATATATCATGCTAAGTGAAGTAAACTAGACACAAATGATTATATATATTATATTATTCCATTTATACAAAATTCAATAAAGGGCCAAAAAAAAAAAAAGGGTACCGACCTAAAGTAAATGAGTGATTTTCACAAGCTGAGGCCTGAGGCAGCTGATTGCAAAGGGGAATGAGGGGGCTTTGTGTAGTGATGGGAATGTTGTGTATTACAGTGGTGGTGATCCAAGTATATAACTTTGTCAAAGTCCAGCAAAATGTATAATTAAAATGGGAGATTTTTAATGTAAAATATATCTCAATAAAACTGATTTTTTTTTTTTTTAAGCGACAGAGTCTTGCTCTGTCACCAGGCTGGAGTGCAAGGGAATAATCTCTGCTCACTGCAACCTCCACCTTCTGGGTTCAAGCCATTCTCCTGCCTCAGCCTCCTAAGCAGCTGGGATTACAGGCAGCATGCTGCCACACCCAGTTAATTTTTGTATTTTCAGTAGAGATAGGGTTTCACCATGTTGGCTAGAATGGCCTTGATCTCTTGACCTCATGATCTACATGTCTCGGCCAAAGTGCTGGGATTACAGGCATGAGCCACCACACCCGGTCGTGATTTTTTTTTGGTTGTTTTTTTTGTTTTGTTTTGAGATGGAGTCTTGCTGTCTTCCAGGCTGGAGTGCAATGGCGCAATTTTGGCTCACTGCAACCTCTGCCTCCTGGGTTCATGCGATTCTCTTACCTCAGCCTCCTGAGTAGCTGGAAATGCAGGTGTATGCCACCATGCCCGGCTAATAATGAAACTGGTTTTAAAAGACATCTTCTAAGGACAAAATATATAAATAAAAAACCCACTCTCATATAAAGTGCTCTTAGTGCAAATGGGCCAATATCATCTATTAATAGTAACACATCACACACCCTCCAGAGGAGGGAAGAGACTGATCAGTACAGTCTGAGAATTCCCTTGAGGTGGGGCTGGCACAGAGCAGGGTTCCTGCTTGCTTTGGATTCAGGGGGAAGTCAGTCATTTATTTCTACTCAGCAAATTAGCAGAGGGCTGGCCTCAGTTGTGGCAGGAAAGTGAAATTGAACAGGATGACCCTAAAGGACATGTCCAGTTTGAAAAAGTAAAAATAAAAATGTTTAGTTGGTATCAGATTTAGGGGAAAAAATTTCAAGAAATTTCTATCAGGTGGTAGAAAATAAGACAAAATCTGGTGGCTGCCTGGTCATGATTTGCAGAGGATGAAAGAGAACAAAATTCTGCACAGTGGATCAGGCCTGGAAAGTCAGTGGAGGCTAGAGTTTACTTTCCCTAGCATCAGAAATCTGTGGTTTCAAACTCACTGGGTTTTATATTTCTTTTCTTAGCTTTTAGATAAGCCTGATTTAGAAATTCTAGCCTGTCTCAGGGAAGAGGAGGAAAAGGAGAAATGCAAAGGAGCTTTTATCTATATTTGGACTGTCTATCAGGAGTGTGTGGCCCTGAGGAGACAGACCAAGCCAGGGGCTCCTGTGTGCAAAGGCTAAGAGCCCCGCAGTTGAATAAATAAACAGCGTCCAGAAACACTGTTCGCTGACAGAGCTTGTTTTCACGAGCATTTCCTTTCCGCTTTCTTCAAGTGCTTTGTTTCCTGTTTGTTTGGATAATGGTAGAAAGTGACCACATCAGGTTAATGCCATCATCAAGGGCACAGTTACTGTCCAAACAGTTGTTATAGTTGAACTGCGTTTCTCCTTCTAAATTCTTTTTTCTTTTTGAGACAGAGTCTCGCTCTGTCACCGGCCTGGAGTGTGATGGCATGATCTCGGCTCACTGCAACTTTCACTTCCCAGGTTCAAACTATTCTCTTGCCTCAGCCTCCCAAGTAGCTGGGACTACGGGCGCATGCCACCACGCCTAGCTAACTTTTTGTATTTTAGTAGAGATGGGGTTTCACCATGTTGGCCAGGATAGTCTCAATCTCCTGACCTCCTGATCCACCCGCCTCGACTTCCCAAAGTGCTGAGATTACAGGCATGAGCCACCTTGCCCGGCCTCCCCCTTCCAAATTCTTAGTCCTAACTCCCAGAATGTAAATGTGGAAATAGCACAGTTGCAGACGTCATTAATTAACATGAGGCCAGACTGCGGTGGAGCAGGCCTCTAATCCAATATGACTGATCTTTACAAAAAGGGGAAATTTGGAAGCAGACACCCGCACAGGGAGAACACATGTGAAGATGAAGGCAGAGATCCGATGATGCAGCAGAAGCCCAGAAATACCAAAGACTACAGAAAACCACAAGGTGCTAGGAGAACGGCGTGAGCAGATTCTCCCTCCAGCCCTCAGAGAAACCAGCCCTGCCCATATACTGATGTAGGACTTCTAGTCCCGGGACAATACATTTCTGTGATTAGGCCACCCAGTCTGTGGTGCTTTGTTATGGCGGCCCTAGCAAACAAACAGAAGCTCTTCCATGTCTTCATGCCTAGAGATCAAACGGACTGCCACTGAGCAGCCTGGAGGGTGCAATCTGAGATCCAGCAACTCCTTTCCTGCTAACATAACCTGAATAGAGATCTCAAGAGCCCCTGAGAATGTGGTATTCACAATCGTAGAGAAAAGCAAACCAAGGGGATGCGAAAGAAAAATCTTCTAAATTCACCTACTTCCTAAAGTCCAGTTATCTTGCTTTTCAAAAGCTAGTTAATTATGGAACTAGTTTCTATTAGAGAGTGAGGAGATGGGCAACAGATAGAGTTAGAATAATAGTAGAGTCAGAATAACTGAGAAATAAAATCCATACTTTATAAAGAATTAAGAGTGTCCTTTTCTCTTGCAGGTTTACTTTCTGTATATCCTTCTATGTAGAAATAGTGTATTGTACCATGTTGAAATGGGTGTGGTTTTTTTTTTTTGAGACAAAGTGTTGCTGTGTCACCCAGGCTGGAGTGCAGTGGTACAATCATAGCTCACTGTAGCCTCAAACTCCTGGGCTCAAGCAATCCTCCCACCTCAGTCTCCTGAGTAGCCTGGACTGCAGGCACTTAACCACTGTGCTGGGTAACTGCTTTTTTCTTCTTAGGGATTGGGTCTTGCTATGTTGCCCAGGCTGTTCTTACTCCTGGCTTCAAGTGATCCTCCTGCCTCAGACTCCCAAAGTGCTAGGGATTATAGGCATGAGTGCCTGGTTGAATTTTAGCTGGGAAACAGTGAAAACATCTGCTGCATATTATGTACCAGTGACCTGACTACACATTCCAGGGCCTTCTGAAACTCAGAATCTCATTAACTCCCAATATTACTCTAGGCCTCCTGCTCTGCGCTTTGTAAACAATGAAGGAGTGAGCACCAACAGGCAGACGTTTGAAAAGGTGCCTCTTACCTCCATGCTTGTGCTGAATGCTCTAGTAACTTTTGCTTTGATGGTTATAACTTGTCCAATTCTAGGGGAAAACAAACAAAAAAACCCTCAGTAGTTCAAGTACGTTTCATTTTAGATCAGACTTAAAGATTACTTACATGCATGCCATAAAGCAGTTCCACCTTATCATGCTGACAATGTTCACGCATGGGAAATTCAGGTTAATGATAATGGAAAAAGACAGTGCTTAAAAGCAAAGGCCAATCACTGTAAACCACACTTACAGTGTTAGCGGACCACCAGTATTGAAACAGAAAAGAGCCTTTGCAAAGGTAGTGTGTGACCTGACTCCAGATCTGCAACCAACACATACTGACTATACAGCAGCTGTTTCCCCAGGAAAAGTTAAGACAAATACACCAGCACATCTATACAGCTGATATTTTTAAATGTTAGTTAATACAAAAATGGACAAACATACGAAAAAGCAAGCAAGCAAACCCATCATCTTCGACAGGTTTGTATGGGCCCTCAGTGACACCAGGTGGTCTAGCTACTCCCTGCTATTACTGAAACTTCAATCATGTAACCTGAAGTTGTTCCAGATCTTTTGTGTTAAGGCTCATCAGTCAGCTCTAATCCCTTCACCTTAGCAGAAGGTGAGAGGTTACCCAATAGAAGCCCCCTTGATCACTTTTCCTTAACTTCAAGGTTGAACTGCATTTGCACCTTTCTCTTTGCTGTTCTGTTTCAGGGGAAGAGGGATCTCTCAAGACCTAATCTCTATCTTTACCAGTGCCCATGGTCCCATCCTCTTGTGGCCCTGTCCCCTCCCTTGTTGGCTCTGTGTCATCAATTCTGTCCTCTTTTCTGCTTTTTTTTTGAGATAGAGTCTCACTCTGTCGCCCAGGCTGCAGTGCAGTGGAGCAATCCCAGCTCACTGCAACCTCGGACTCCCGGGTTCAAGTGATTCTCCTGCCTCAGCCTCCCAAGTAGCTGGGATTACAAGCACATGCCACCACGCCCGACTTAATTTCGTATTTTTAGTAGAGATGGGGTTTCACCATGTTGGTTAGATTGGTCTTGAACTACTGACCTAGTGATCTGTCCGCCTTGGCCTCCCAAAGTGCTGGGATTACAGGCGTGAGCAACAGCACCCAGCCCTCTTCTCTGCTTTCAATCTCTGCCCCTTTCCCGATTCTCCATCAGGAGAATGCTCAAGGCTTCTCCTTTCTAAAATCTTTCTCTCAAACCTATTCTATCTCAAGACATTTTTCTTTTCTTCATATTCAACCTTCTTAAAAACATCGTTTATTTTTCTAACTTACACATTTCACTAATGTTCACTGAGTTATGAGTAGTCCTGGCATTAAGCCAGGTCTAAGGATACAGTGATGAACAAGGCAAAACTGCTGACTTGAAGGAGACCAATCGTTCTTTGGGATACTGGGACATAAACAGATAAAGTCCAAAAGATTACAAAGGAATTAATGACAATTCTTTTTTTTTTTTTTTTTTGAGACGGAGTTTCGCTCTTGTTACCCAGGCTGGAGTGCAATGGCGCAATCTTGGCTCACCACAACCTCCGCCTCCTGGGTTCAGGCAATTCTCCTGCCTCAGCCTCCCGAGCAGCTGGGATTACAGGCACGCACCACTGTGCCCAGCTAATTTTTTGTAATTTTAGTAGAGACGGGGTTTCACCATGTTGACCAAGATGGTCTCAATCTGTTGACCTCGTGATCCACCCGCCTCAGCCTCCCAAAGTGCTGGGATTACAGGCTTGAGCCACCACGCCCGGCCGACAATTCTTTAACAATAAAAACCCTTGTCACTAATTAAATGAAGTGCAGTGTTTCTCAGTGTGGCCATACTAATAACAGTGACTACTCTCTATGTGTCACTGTGTGTAAATCAGGCACCATGCTAAATGCTTTGTATCATAATCTAACAACACGTCATTCACTGAGCAATAACCTTATGAGGTGGGCATTATCATTCTCATTTCATTCCCATCAGGAAATGGGCTTAGAAGGTGACATAGTCAGTGACTGGTAGGGCCAGAGTTCAAACCCTGGTCTTATCTGGCTCCAAAGCCTTGACAACATTACCCTACTCAGGCTTCTGGTAAATAATTGGAATTTATGCTATTTTAATCACAGTAGAGAGGCTTGTTCAGATATATGTATATCACTCTATCGCCCAGGCTGGAATGCAGTGGTTCAATCATGGCTCACTGGAGCCTTAAATTCCTGGGCTCAAGCGATCTTTCTGCATGGGCCTCCCAAGTGCTGGGATACAGCATGAGCCACTGCACTCGGCCCAGATATATGAAAGACAGTCTATAAGATGAACCAGTTAGGTTTACATAGAAGAGTGACCACATCTGGTCAATGGCTTTGCCCACATATTGTTACTCCATATATCTGTCATAATCTGTAGCATTCTTGGCAGGAAAAACTGGAAGTAAAAAGTTTAATAATACATATATATGCATATTTATTGAAGCAAATAATTTCTATACTAGAAATCGGAACAAATTTAAATTTCTGGCACAGTTTTATTAACCCTTAATTTTACTAGTTTGAAAACTGATAAAACCTACATAACAACTGCTCTGAAGAAAAATTTGGCAAAATCTAATAAGATGACATATGCATTTACCCTTTGACTCAGCAATCCTATTTCTAGAAATCTGTCCCACAATGGCCAGGCATGGTGGCTCATACCTGTAATCCCAGCACTTTGGGAGGCCAAGGTGGGTAAATCACCTGAGGTCAGGAGTTCGAGACCAGCCTGGCCAACATGGCAAAACTCCATCTCTACTAAAAATTCAAAAATTAGCTGGGTGGCACATGCCTGTAGATTCAGCTGCTCAGGAGGCTGGGGCAGGAGAATTGCTTGAACCCAGGAGGCAGAGGTTGCAGTGAGCCAAGATCATGCCATTGCACTCCAGCCTGGGTAACAGACCAAGACTCTGTCTCAAAAATAACAACAAAAAATTTTAAAGAAACCAAGAAAATGAAGGAAGGAAGGAGAAAGAAAGAAAGAAAAAAAGAAAGAGAAGAAAGAAAGAGAAAGAAAGAGATCTCACAAACATACTGGCAAAAATACAAACATACATCTGCACAAGACTACATATTGAAATATTATTTGTAATAGCAAAAGACTGGAAACAATCTCAATGTTCATCAGTGGAGGACCAGTTGAATAATGCAGCACACTCCACAATGGAGTACTAGGTAGATATGAAAAGGAATGATGAATATCTAGAATATCTACTTACAGTTTTGCCCAGTTTAATGACGGGGATGTGTTCTGAGAAATGCTTCATTAGGTGATTGTGTTGTTGTGCAAACATCATAGGGTGTGCCCACACTAACTTGGATGGTGTAGCCTCCTACACACCTGGGCTGTACGGTCTAGCCTATTGCCCCAGGCTACAAACCTGCAGAGGCTGTTACTATGCTGAATGCTGTGGGCAACCATAACACAATGGTAAGCATTCATGTGTCTAAATATAGCTAAACTTAGAAAATGTTCAGTAAAAATGCAGTATTAAAATCTTTTTTTTTTTTTTGGAGACAGAGTTTTGCTTTTGCTGCCCAGGCTAGAATGCAGTGGCATGATCTCAGCTCATAGCAACCTCCACCTCCAGGTTTCAAGCAATTCTGCCTCAGCCTCCTGAGTAGCTGGGACTACAGGCACGCACCACCCAGCCCAGATAATTTTTGTATTTAGTAGATATGAGGTTTCATCATGTTGGCCAGGCTGGTGTTGAACTTCTGACCTCAGGTGATCCACCTGAGGATCAGGTGGGGGATTATAGGTATGAGCCACCTTCCAAACTGCAGGGATTATAGGCATGAGCCACCACACCAGGCCAATACTAAAATCTTATGGGACCATTGTCACTGACCAAAATGCCGCTATGCAGCACATGACTGAATATGGGTATGGAGTGGTTTTCTAGATAGAAATACTGTATATTTTATAGTGTGTACTTTACACACTAGATATACTTTTCTCCACCTCATTTTTATTTTAAGTGAAAAAAGGGAAGTGGAGAAAAGTATAGTGTGTTGAAATTTATTTTTAAAATAACATGGATACCTATAAATATTTCTTTACATTAAAAAAAGGGATAAGCCACAAAATAAATAAAATGGTTATACAGAGAGGGAAGGACTTAGATAGAAGGTAGAGAGGAGCTAGATTCCCCAGAGGGAAATAGGTCTGTTTTCCAGATTTGACTCTGGTATCTGCAGATATTTTAAACCATAAAACAAAATTAAATAAAAATAAAAATCATTTCTACAAAATAAAAAGCAATATTTGTTAGTGACAATATTGGTAGTGTTATTCTGAATCTAATTAATGTGTACATGTGTGTATATACATATTAATTTGAATCAAATAAGTTTATGTCTTTAAATGTCAAGATATTCAGCATAAAATAAAAAATCAGAGATACGGACATAAAAATCAATTAAGTAAAACCATATCCTAAATTATTACAGTTTATTAATATAAATGCTTTAAAAACACATAATTCCTAATTCCCTCTGCTGAAAAGGCCAAGAACTAATGCCCATGCTGATGTGAGTGAGCACCTTGCCTGGCCAGGTTGTGGTCTCTATTTCTACTGCAAGGAATCGGGACTCTTGGAGAAATAATGGATTCCAAGTTTGTGGGGGCAAAGGTAAAAGATGAGCTGGACATATTTTGTACCAGAAGGCCAAGGAATTATTAAACACCTTCAACTCTGAGCTTTTGTTCAAGGGACTTAGGAATTAAACTGAAGAAGCTCCCACTGCTCAAAGAGGGGGCAGTCTGAGCTCCTGTAAGAATAATAACATTGGCCAGGCACGGTGGCTCATACCTGTAATCCCAGCACTGTGGGAGGCCGAAGCAGGTGGATCACCTGAGGTCAGGAGTTCAACACCAGCCTGGTCAACATGGTGAAACCCCGTCTCTACTAAAAATACAAAAAAATTATCTGGGCGTGGTGGCGGGCACCTACAATCCCAGCTACTTCGGGAGGCTGAGCCAGGAGAATTGCTTCAGGAGAATTGCTTGTACCTGGGAGGCTAATAACATTGGTGAATTGTAACACATCAAATACATGAAAATCCATAGGTTCCTAATGAGTAAAGGGAAAGAGTCCTGGGCAAACTTTTCCTCAGGGTGCTCAGGTCATTCGTGAGTGTTTCCCTCTAGAAAAGCATTTCAGAAAATACACGAAGTAGAAATGATAGAATTCGCATATTACCATGTTTCCAGTGTCTAATGACAGAATGGTTGTAGTCTATGATCATTAGATGTTATATGCTCTTGACATGAGATGTTTTTACCAAAATATCACATCTTCATCAACCGGGCACGGTGGCTCACGCCTATAATCCCAGCACTGTGAGAGGCCGAGGTGGGTAGATACCTGAGGTCAGGAGTTCAAGACCAGCCTGGCCAACATGGTGAAACCTCATCTCTACTAAAAATACAAAAAGTATCTGGGCGTGGTGGCATATGCCTGTAGTCCCAGCTACTGTCTCTCAACTGAGGCAGGAGAATCTCTTGAACCTGGAAGGTGGAGGTTGCAGTGAGTCAAAATCACAGTGCCACTGCACTCCAGCCTGGGCAACAGAGCAAGACTCCATCTCAAAGAAAAAAAAAAATCAAAACTTCATCATATTCAATTTTTAGAGGTAACTGTCAGATTGCAAGAAATACAAAAGACTGGAGAACACATTAATCATGGCTATAGTGAGCAAATACAGAATGTGTAAATTCTACAAGACAAATGACCAGGTTTCTTTAAAAAGTAAGTTGCAAGATAGAAGGAAGGGAAAGTTACATGTTAAAGCACACTTAAAAGACATATTGCCTAAACGGAATCCTGGTTTAATAAATCCTGTAAGACCTTCCAGTGGGACAGACAGGATGTGGAAGCAGAACAGTGCAGACTGGTGATTCCGACCCTGTGCAGGCCTAAACTAGTGTATGTGTTTGTGACATAGTTTTTAATAAAAAAGTTTAAAAAGTGAAAAAACAACAACGAATTTTTAAAATAGAAAATAGCTTATAGAGTAAGGTAAGGACATAAAGAAATTTTTTTTTTTTTGAGATGGAGTCTCACTCTGTCGCCAGGCTGGAGTGCGGTGGTGTGATCTCGGCTCACTGCAGCCTCCGCCTCCTGGGTTCAAGCAATTCTCCTGCCTCAGCCTCCTGAGTAGCTGGTACTATAGGTGCAAGCCACCACACGCAGCTTTTTAAAAATATTTTAGTAGAGATGGGGTTTCATCATGTTGGCCAGAATGGTCTTAATCTCCTGACCACGTGATCCACCCACCTCAGCCTCCCAAAGTGATGGGATTACAGGCGTGAGCCACCGCGCCCGGCCAAAGAAAAATATTTTTGTACATCTCTACAAAAGGCTGGTGTTTTAAGCTCAGTATTATTACAAAAGAACCAAAAAGATTTTTTTAAGTTTATAAAGTAAAAACGTTACAGTAAGCTAAGGTTAATTTATAATTAAAGAAAGAAAACTATTTTCATAAATGTAGTGTAGCGTAAGTGTGTGGTATTTGTAAAGTCTATGGTAGTGTTAGGTAGGGTCTCGGCCCTTCACATTGCTCAGCACTCACTCACTGACTCATGCAAAGTAACTTCCAGCCTTGCAGGCCCCATTCATGGTAAGTGCCCTATACAGAGGTACCATTTTTTTCTTTTATACTGTATTTTACTGTATCTTTTTTCTGTTTAGCTACATTTAGATATACAAATACTTACCATTGTGTTATAATTGCCTATAGTTTGCAGTACAGTAACAGGCTGCACAAGTGTGTAGCGTAGAAGCAACAGGCTATACCACGTAGCCTAGGTGCATAAGAGGCTGCATTGTGGAGGTTTGTGTAAGCACACTCTGTGAGTTCGCATAGGAAGAAATCATTAGTCATGCTGTCTCAGAACGTAGCCCATCATTAAGTGATGCATGCTGTATAGACTGAAATATTTATAGATGATGCTGGAGATTTTCTTCAAAACAATCCAGGCATGTGGAGTGTAGAGAGATATTGATAAAGCAAGAGTGTCTGCAGGTTTTTTATTGCTGTAGCTAGGGGCGAAGGGTCCTTGTGATACACTGTACTATCTCTCTTGTTTTATAGGTTGCTGCAAAAGTAATGGTGGTTTTTGCAATTACCAACCTAAATATGCATGTTTGAAATGTTTGTGTATCTTGAGATTTTCTGCAATAAGAGGTGGTAAAGCACACAAGCACTTTCACACACAAAATGTTTTTCATAATTTACTCTCTACTCAGATGAGTTCGTGTTTACCTACCAACCTAATGATGAAATTCACCATCATAAAGATACTCATTATCCTCATTATCTTTAATAATTCTTCTAGTAGAGGAAGGAGACTTTAATAATTAGCTCTTACTGGCCAGGCATGGTGGCTCACGCCTGTAATCTCAGCACGTTGGAAGGTCAGGGGGCAGATTGCTTGATCCCAGGAGTTCGAGATCAGCCTGGACAAAATGATGAAAAAATATATATACAAAAAAAATTAGCCACATGGGCATGGTGGTGCAGGCTTCTTGGGAGGCTGAGGCAGAAGGGTCACTTGAGCCCAGGAGGAATAGGTTGCAGTGAGCTGAGATCACACCCCTGCACTCCAGTATGGGAAACAGAGTGAGACAATTAAAAAAAAAAAAAAAAAAAAATATATATATATATATAGTTATAGATGATGCTTCAGATTTTCCTCCAAACAATCCAGGCATCTGCAGGAGTGTAGAGAGGTATTGATAAAGCAGGAGTGTCTGTGGGTTGATTATTCCTGCAGCTAGGGGTTATGCCTTACACCACAATGCATCTAAGGCTGAGAGCTATTTCTCCACAAAATTAAGACTGTGAAGTTAGAGTGTTTATTATAAGTAGGCCCTGTGATTATTTTTTTTACTTACTTAAATTGGGTCACATGTTATTTAATTAAGAAACAAGATCACTACCGCTGCATGAATAAGCTCAGGTGCTACCAGTGCATGTCCCAAATGAACCAACAAACCCAGGAGAAAGGAGCGATGGAGCAGTGTCACTTACCTAGCTGTCTCCTCAAACTGTATGTCATCCACTGAGGCTGTAACACAGGAAACTCCAGCGTGTTTCTCAGCTTCAAAAAATACAGAAAAAGGTGCTGCTATAGTGGTGACATTAGAATATTTCAGTATAAGGGAAAGGAATGAAATGCATGTGCCTTGATTTTAGTCACCCATCCCTCATTCATCATAGTGCCACTGTGCCTACACTTCCACGAGCTTCTCTGCTCTGTAAGTCATGCTCCTACTGCATGGTAATTACTGCACTTTATCCTAAATTTTAACTTATATGATCCTGTGGTTGAAATTTAATACCAATATCCAGCAAATCTTGCTATTGAAATAGCAATTTTAGTAAGTTGGTGATGACTTTAAATGTTTCATCAGGTACTATCCTTCTTTTGTTTTCAAATCAAAGCATCACAGGTGTATCCACTTGCCCACATAACCAGCAGCAGAATCAGTTTAACCACTGTAAGCATTGAGCAGTATGGGAAACCCTGAGTCATCCCAAATCAAAGAGGATCTTCTCTGAATATCAGAGAAAAAGAGAGAGATGGGCAGATAGTAGATAGTCAATATTCATTTTATTATTACCAAATTTATGCCAAATTCAGTATGTATTAATTTTGTTTAAAATTCATTTGTTTTTCTGTTCTTAGATTGGATAATTTCTGTTGACATATTTTTGCATTTGCTTTTTTTTCGGCCATGTCAATTCTGCTGGTAAGCCTGTCCATAGACTTTATTATTTTAGACACTATATTTTTCAGTTCTGGAATTTCCATTTGGCTTTAAAAAAAAGTTTCTATTACTTTGCAGAAATGTACTACCTTTCAACCTTTTTTCCCTTTTTTTTTTGAGACGGAGTCTCATTCTTTTGTCCTGGCTGGAGTCCAGTGGTACAATCTCGGCTCACTGCAATCTCCACCTTCCAGATTCAAGTGATTCTCCTGCCTCGGCCTCCCTAGTAGCTGGGATTACAGATGCCTGCCACCATACCCGACTAATTTTTGTATTTTGAGTAGAAATGGTGTTTCACCATGTCTCAAACCCCTGACCTAAAGTGATCCACACCATCTCCAGCCTTCCAAAGTACTGGGATTACAGCAGTGTTTATTATCATATTTTTCATGACATTCTTGAGCACAGTTGTACTAGCTGCTTTAAAATTCTTGAAGCTTAATTCGAGCATGAGGGTTATCTAGGGATGAATCTCCATTGATTTGTCTTTTCTCTTAAGAATGAATCATGTTTCCCTTTGCATGTTAAGTAATTTTGGATAATATCCTAGCCATTGTGAGTGATCCATTATAGAAATGTGTTTCTCTGAAAAGAGTTGGTTTTGTTTTTGTTTTTTAAAGCAAGCAGTTAACTTGACCAAACTGAAACAGTAGTTCTGTCTACCTAGAGACAGGCACAACTATTTTCAGTTATTTTGACCTCAGCTAGGAGATTTGGAGTCCATCCTACGCATACATGGTTCAAGATTTGCCAGATACCTGGGCAAAGATTGTAGATAGATTTTGGGGCTCTGTCTCTCTGGCTCCTTCCTTTCTGGAACTTTCCCTTTCATAGTTCAGTAGCTGTGCTTTTCCCAAACCCTGTCTTTGGGCTCTTCAAACCAGCAAGGCTGTGAGTTTTTCATCAGAACTATAGCTGGGGGCAGACTGGCATTTCCTTTCAGGCTTGAAGTCATTTGAAAAACAAAAACAAGGCCGGGTGCGGTGGCTCAAGCCTGTAATCCCAGCACTTTGGGAGGCCGAGGCAGGTGGATCACGAGGTCAAGAGATCCAGACCATCCTGGTCAACATGGTGAAACCCCGTCTCTACTAAAAGATACAAAAAATTAGCTGGGCATGGTGGCGCGTGCCTGTAATCCCAGCTACTCGGGAGGCTGAGGCAGAAGAATTGCCTGAACCCAGGAGGCGGAGGTTGCAGTGAGCCGAGATCCCGCCATTGCACTCCAGCCTGGGTAGCAAGAGCGAAACTCCGTCTCAAAAAAAAAAAAAAAAAACAAAAAAACAAAAAAACAGAAAGAGCCAACACCATTCTGTTCTTTCATGTGTGAGCTTTCAAGCATTCTAAGCTTACTTTTGTTCACTTTTCACTTGCCTTAAGTCTTTTTTATTTAGTGTTTTGCCCAGAGTTTATAATTATTATCTGTGGGAGATTAACATGTTAGAAAAATCCTTACAGCCCTTGGTGAAGAAAAGAGAAATATGACATGATCAGATTAGCATCTTCAAAGAATACTTTAGAAGCAGTGTGGAGAGAAGACCAGAATGAATGGAGACCACTTCGGAAATCACTGCTGAAGTCCGCAGGAAAGATGATGATAGCTTGGATAAGATGGTTGCTTTGAGGGTGCAGCAAAGTGGCTGGATTTCACAGATTCCTTTAGGGGTAACATTGATAGAACTTGGTTAATGCATAGAGTATACGAAGGCAGAGGTAAGGTGGAAAGAGAGATATCAAGGATGACTCCTAGACTTTTGACTTGCTCGACTAGATGAGTTGAGTGGCACTCCAGAGACAGTAAACCCTGGAAAAGATTCACAAATAGAGAGAAAAATGTGTGCATGAGATGTTCCAAAATAATACACGGACGTGTGGGATAGAGGATTACTCAGACGGCTTCACAGCTTTAGACTTCAGGGACTGGAAAAATAATGGGGCCACTGACAGAAGTGAGGATAGTGAGAATATTTCATCTTCCTTTATTGAGAAGACGTTTTGGAATCCAGCAGTGCCTAGGGGTCATAGCAATGCCTTGGGGCCATGACTGGGATCACAGTAATGTGGCTAAAGAGAAATGCCGGCCTATAAAAAACTCTGAGAAAATGCCAGAGAAATCAGTTTTGTATTATTACAGATTCAGTTACACATTGGCTAAATAATGTCCCCTGCCGATGTGGTGCCTCTGATCACCATAGAGTGTTTAACACAGGCATTATTCATGCTTCCCAAACCGAATTTTTCATACAGGTTTTCTTAATATTAGTAATATTGATATCGTTAATTATAAATATTATACGACTAATAGTAACCTAACTACTAAGGTATAGAGTAATTGATTGTCAGTTGGATCTTTCCATGGTCCGGGTTTCCAAAGATGTCAGGCCACAGAAATGATGACAACCACAGGTGGACCACTGTTTCTCCATCACAAGACAGAAGCACTAAGCAAGGTAAATAAAAGTCACTTCAGTAGTCTCATAATGCATTCAATTGCCTTGGAAATAGGCATCCTTATTATTAGCAACCGCCATGGTTTCTGTATTGTTTCTTTTTCCTACCTGTGGATTAATTTTGTATTCATGTTTCCATTATTACGTTAATATAATCAATGTCAAATCCTGTTTCAAAACAAAACAAAAAAACAAAAACGAGCTGGGCTTAGTGGCTCACGCCAGTAATCTCAGCATTTTGGGATCATGAGGTCAGGAGATCGAGACCTGGCCAACATGGTGAAACCTCATCTCTACTAAAATACAAAAAATTAGCCAGGTGTGGAGGTGCGCAGCTATAGTTTCAGCTGCTTGGGAGGCTGAGGCAGGGGAATAGCTTGAACCTGGGAGGTGGAGGTTGCAGTGAGCCAAGACTGTACCATTGCACTTCAGCCTGGGTGGCAGAGCAAGACTCCGTCTCAAAAAAACAAAAACAAAAACAAAAAAAATCAGGCTTAAACAAGTCATCAATTTCTCACAGTTGTGGAGGCAGGGAAGTTGCAGATGGAGGTGCTTGCCTATGTAGGTCCTAGTGAGGGCTCTTTTCCTGGCCTGTGGATGGCGTCTTCCTGCTGTGGCCTCACATGGCAGAGAGATGAAGATCTCTGGTGTCTCTTCTTATAAGGATATTAATTGTATGGAACCAGGATTCCACTCTTAGGACCTCATTAGCCTTAATTCTTCACTCCAAAAAATACAACCACACCAGGGGTTAGGACTTTAACGTATAAATTTCGGTGGGTAGCGTGGGGGCATAATTCAGTCCATAATAAATGTTCTTGCCATTTTTACTGTCATTCTCTCACAAGAACACTGTTTCCCAGAGACTACATAAGGGCGTGGTAGCAACACGGTCAATGCAGAACCAGGTCTGAGAATTCGGCAATCCTCCGCTAACCAGGCCTTAGAGAGACTCACCAGGATGTAATCTATAGCCACTCCTCTTACTACACTTTTGTTCTTGTCGAAAATAGTTATTTTTTAATTAAAAAGGTTATGTTAATGTGTAGTCCGTTTCTTTTTTTAAAAATAAATTCAAAATATTAAATTTCCAATACGGTAAAAATGATATAAATAACCTAAACAAAAGCTGGCTGGGTGCAGTGGCTCACGCCTGTAATCCCAACACTTTGGGAGGCTGGGGTGGGAGGATCACTTGAGTCCACGAGTTTGAGACCAGCCTGGGCAACATAGCGAGGCCCCATCTCTACAAAAACAAAATGAAACAAAAACACCTGAAAAATGAGCTGGTCCTGGTGGTGTGTGCCTGTGGTCCCAGTTACTCTGGAGGCTGAGGTGGGAGGATCGCTTTAGCCCAGGAGGTAGAGGCTGCAGCGAGCCCTGATGGCGCCACTGCATTTCAGCCTGGGCGACAGTGAGACCTTGTCTCAACAACAACAACAAAACAAAAAACCCTGCAAACGCTCTCTGGGCTCCCCATTTATTTAATGAGATGAAGGACTCCTGAGACCCACACATTTGGGAACCGGCGGTCTCAGCCATGCCCCGCGCGGGTGCACTGTCGCATCCCCCCTGCCCCTGGTTGCGCTGGGCTCAACTCTGCTAGTCCCTTCCTCGCCTTCCTCCTCCGCCCTGCGCCTGCCCGAAGCCCCGGCGCCCGCTTACCCGCCAGGCAGGCGGTGGTGTCGATCCACTTGAGCAGCTGCCCGGCGCTCAGCTCGCCGCGGGCAGTGGCGTGCGCAGGCTGGATGGCCTGGCTCATGAGCACCTCGCCCGGCGCCTGCCGCTCCATGGCCAGGACAAGAGTTCGAAGCCCTTGGGCCCCGAAGCCCGGACATGCCCGCTCCACCCGCCCCGCCCCGCCCGCCCCGCTCCAAAGGGCGCCGGCAAGCCCGCCCGGGCCGCGAACCCCTGGCCCTTCCACTGCCTGGTGCTCGGAGCGGCTAGTGAAGGGTCCCGCAGTGTCGCCCCAGGACTATCGCGAGGGGGGCGAAGGCCAGGGCTCTCGGGTCTCGGGAGAAGCCCGGGAAGTGCACAGGGGCGGGGGGTGCTCCCAGGTAGAGAAGGCTGGCAGCGTGGCTCCCTGAGGGCCGCGGCCGGGCACCGCCCTGGCCAAGGGGATGGGGAAACACTCATGAGCCGCCTGGGGAACTTGGCGGCAGGGGGCGGCAAGAACGAATAGAGTTCATGGTCTCTGGAGAATGTAGAGCATTTGCTTTAGAAACTGATTTTAAATATTTGATGTTTGTTGCATTTGCCTCCTGACTGTTGACTGTCAGGCAGAGCAGGCACTCCCTACATGAGCCCTAGTTCAAAATCCACCGTCTGATTCTTGGGAAATTATAATGGCTCCAAAGTCAGTTTGTTACGAAATTGCTCCCACTGCCGCACAAACCTTAAAGAAGAAGATGTATTTAGGTGCATCAATCACACAACAAGAGAAAGTAACGTTTTTATTTTTATCTAGTGAATTTCAGATTAAAAACTGTCACCCTTGAGGCAGGAGAGTGGCTTGAACCCGAGAGGCGGAGGTTGCAGGGAGCGGAGATCTTGCCTTTGCACTGCAGCCTGGGCGACAGAGCGAGAAACCCGTCTTAAAAAACAAACAAAAAACCGGTCACCTTGTTACTAATGGTCCCCACAAATCCCAAAATAATCTTGTCTTAACAGGAAACAAAATCTAGAACCTCGGCCATTCGGCAGGCACAGGGCCTCAGGCCTGTAATCCCGCACTTGGGGCAGCAGAGGTGGAAGGACCGCTTATGGCCAGCAGTTCAAGAGCCTGCACAACACTGTGAGATCCCATTTCTATCTTTAAAAAATCTAGAACATTCAATGAGGTTTTGTACTCAGCTTTTGACATACTAAAGCTGTCAAACTTTCTCGAGCTGCTATCAGTGACTGTAGAAACAGCGTCTCCAGAAAACCTCTAGCATCTAAGGGATTCGTGGATGTCTGACCGTCAGGGGAAGCTGCGCCAGGAAGCACATTTTCGATGGAGAACTGGAAAGCTGGAGTCGTGGAGCAGCGTCCAGAAGTGGAGCAAGCAGCTGAGGTGATGGGAGCTGCTAAGCGACCCGGATCACAAGCTGGAACCCAGGGCTCTTGACTGTCCAGAATAGCACCAAGAAACCTAGCTGACTCTCACGAATTGGGGTACCTTTTCACCTTATACCTTTGGTGTGCCAAGCCCCAGCATGGCGACATCAGAATGGAGATTTGGTATTTTTGTTTCCTTTTTAAATTTTTTTTCTTTTTTAATGAAAGAGGGGAAGTAAGGAAATGTTGACTTGCTAGCTTTTAGGAGCCTCTGTGCATAGGTTTCAGGACAATTCAAGCACAAATAGGAATTGAATGCTTTCATTGAGGCAAGCATGAAGTTTGACTTATATAAAAGGCATTAAAATAACTTAAGAACAGACAAAACTTGGGCCTCCAAGATGGTCCCATAATGTAGCCATGCACTTATTTCAATGATAACGTTATTACTCTCACCACTTTTGGCCTTCCTCCTTGGAAAATGCCTAAAGGATTCTGAATGCCTTTTAAGAAATGTCTTCTGTATTGATGGATCATATAATTTAGGAATTGATAGATGAGATCATTATTCAGCATTATATATTCACTGCATCTACCAATAACTCTGTGGATGCCATTTATTGAGCTTGGACTTGGCCATTTGACTTGCTTTAGAATGGAATGTGGAGAGATAGCAGTGTACCAGTCTTGCCTTAGAAGTACCATGTGTTTCTGTTCTCAGGAACATCTGACCTCTGTCATGAGGAGATTATGCCCAAGCAGTTGCCTATTAGCATCTGGGTACCAGACTGAATTCACAGATTGCAGAGGCATCTCAGCCAACCCGAGGACTCACAGTCTGAAGCAGAGCCACCCAGACATGAAGACTCTTGAATGAGACATAACTACTTATTGTTGTGTGCCACTGTGATTTGGGGGGTTGTCTGTTATGCAGCAATAGCTGACAGTTGCATGAGTGAACTGTATTTTTTAATATTTGGGAGGTTTATTAAATTACTGAAAATAAAGTTTGCATTTAGGCTGGGTTGTATTATTTTGGGTAAAAAGCGACAACTAAAGTGGTGATATTGAATTACATGTATGCTTGTATACTTGGTTTCTTATGAACTAAAGACATTTCAGGCCAGGTGCAGTGGCTCACGCCTATAATCCCAGCATTTTGGGAGGTTGAGTTTAGGTGAATTGCTTGAGCTCAAGAGTTCAAGACCAGCCTGAGCAACATGGTGAAACCCTCTTTCTACCAAAAATACAAAAAATTAGTTGTGTATAGTGGTGTGTACTTGTGGTCCTAGCTACTTGGGAGGCTGAGGTGGGAGTCACTTGAGTCAAAAAGGTGGAGGTGGCAGTGAGCTGAGTCTCAAACAAACAAACAAAGAATAAATTTCAAAAACATTTAAGCGTAAGTGTAAGAGGGTGGCTTTCCAAAATGATTTTCCCGAAGAGGACAGCCTGGGATTGTATGTCTAGAGATGATTGCTTAAAAAGCAGATGTGGTATAAAAATTCACTGTTGTGTTTGGACTTGAGTTTAGATGTATTTCCTGTTTAGACATCTTTAGATTACGGTTTCATATCTTTTGTTGGTTTCACACTAATTTTCATTTTAATAGCCTTGTCCTGGAACTACTATTCTTGTGTTTTTCTGAATGGTCCCTTTCTTCCTTTTACAATGAAAATGTCATCTGCATGCATGAATATTTGTCATCTCCATTTCTCTCTGATGTCAAGGATTTTTACTATTATGGTTGAATAAAAGATCTTCGCGTTTCATTTGTGTTTAGAGACATTTTTTGAAGATGATCAGAACGTGAAGCCAGTCTGATTTTAAAAGGTTGTACACAAGAGCAGGAAAGCTGATCCAAAAAAGTGTGGGAATTCAAAAATCACTAGAATAATGAGAAAACCTTTAAAATGTCGGAGTGGGACAGTCTAAACTCTTATTCTAGAGATGAGGAAATGAAGTATTTTTCTTGGGTCACGTTGAAAGGTAGTGGTTGGGCTTTGTGAAAACTAAGAACAAGGAGCCTGGAATATAAGTAGAGAGGTAGAAAAAAAAATGGTTCCTCTAAAAACAGAAACTCTGACAAGAATTTGAGAGCAGGCAGCTTATTTGGGAGGAAACTGCAGAAGGCACCAGTAGGGGCATCAAAGCATAGTACCCAGGTAAGGCCTCGCCTGGGATCCTGTTAGAAATGCAGAATCTCGGGCCAGAGGTGTTGGCTCATGCTTGTAATTCTAGCACTTTGGGAGGCCGAGTCAGGAGGATCACTTCATCCTCTTGAGTTTGAGACCAGCCTGAGCAACAATAGAGAGACCTTGTCTCTATTAAAAAATATTTAAAAATTAGCCTAGAAATGTAGCACATGCCTGTAGTCCCAGCTACTTGGGAGGCTGAGGCAGGAGGATTGCTTGAGCCCAGGAGGTCGAGGCTGCAGTAAGCCATGATCAGGCCACTGTACTCCAGACTGAGTGAAAGAGTGAGACCTGTCTCAAAAAAAAGAAAAGAAAAAGAAAAAAAATTATAAATGCAGAATTTCATGCTTCAACTCCAACCTACTGAATTAGAGTCTAAATTTTATTAAGATTCCTAGGTGATTCACAGGCACGTTACAGTTTGTGAAGAACAGCTTCCACCATCCCTCCCACTAGCACAAACCCTGGGGTTTTTATCTTCTGACTGGCATCCTTCACTGACTAAGGGCTGGTCCCAGAAGATGAACTCCCCAGGACTTCTGCAGATTTCAGGGCAAGGGCAAACTCTCAGCTGGCGCTTCACCTCAGTAGGACAGGAAGCCGCTGTCAGCTTGGCCTAGGACCCAGAATGGTGAGTGCCGTGGCCATGCAGCAAGGCACAGACAGCCAAAATCCTTACTGTCCTGGAACAGTAGAGGCAGCCGGGAGTCTTTCCATTGCAGAAGATGTGTCCTGGACAGAGGGTTTGCTAGTTCAAGTATTTCATACAGAGATGAACTTGATTAGCCATCAAATTCTCTTTGGTATAGGTTATAAAAGGTGCCAGGTCATTGTTTTCAAATTCAAATATAAATTTATAAGGGTGTGGTTCAAAATTTAAATACAGAGTCCCTAAGCAAAAATTCTAGGATGGGTTTCCCCTAGCCTTTGGCTGCCAGCTTCTTGACTGGAGGGTCTCCTGTCCTTCTCTGCCCCTGCAACCTGCCCTAGGGATGACAGTGACTCTGGGGAATGGGTTTGCTGCTTGGACTGTCCCTCTTAGCACCTGGAGCCTCAAGATAACCTTGCTCCTTTTTGTCCCTGCACTTCCGGTAGCCCCTGCTCTCTGATAAGCGTTAGGTGTGTAACCTAATGGCTACCTCATTCCTGTGGAGTACAAAGCTTTGTTTGGACAAAAGCCAAGTGTATAGAATCCAATTTTTCTGCTTCTCCAGATTTGTTTGTCCCCACTTTCATCCCAGGCCATTGATCACTGCTCAGTAGAGTCCCCTGGCGGTCAGCAGCACTGCTTGTCAATATGCTGGGGCACCTTATCTTCAAATATTGCATCCCACTTGATCACGGCACACAATTCTTTCAATATAGTACAGATTTCTATTTACTGATATTTTAACAAGGACTTCTATGTCTATATTTTTGAGACATGTTGGTCTGCAGTTTTCTTTCTTTCTTTAAAACTGTCTTTGTCTGGTTTTGGTGTCAGGGTTTATAAAACAAGGGAAATGTTCCCCCACTGTGTATTCTGGAAAAGATTGGATAGATTTAGTTCTTTGCACTTTTGGTAGAATTCTCCAGTGAAACTATCTGAGCCTTGAAGATTTCTTTTTTTTGGAAGTTTTTAAATTATGAATTCAATTTTTTGTTTGTTTTTTGTTTTTTTGAGACAGAGTCTTGCTCTGTCACCCAGGCTGGAGTGCGGTGGCGCCATCTTGGCTCACTACAACGTCTGCTCCTGGGTTCAAGTAATTCTCCTGCCTCAGCCTCCTGAGCAGCTGGGATTACAGGCACCCACCACCATGCCTAGCTAATTTTTTGTATTTTTAGTAGAGGCAGGGTTTCACTATGTCAGCCAGGCTGGTCTCGAGCACCTGACCTCATGAACCACCCACTTTGGCCTCCCAAAGTGCTGGGATTATAGGCGTGAGCCACCACGCCCAGCTATGAATTCAAATTTTAAAGCAGT